AGGGAGGGAATGGACAAGCCTGGGAGCTGCACCTTGGAGCCCTCCTGCAGGACTCTGGGCTTGCCCACAGGCCTGGGGACACGTGGAGGGACAGACAGACCGAGCCTGACCTCGGACAGGGCAATCCCTCCGTCCCTGGCAGCAGCACCGTGTCCCTCCCCCAGGGAATGGCAGCACACAGGCACAGTCAGAGCCTTCCCCAGGAGTACACAGGGCACTGTCAGATCCCTGCTGTGAACCACCAGCCACTCCAGAACAAACACCAAACTGCACTTTTTAAAAAAAGAACTCATTTTTCTGACTCCTAACCAGCGTTGGACTGTTGGAAGCCACCTCAAGTGTTCTGCCATCCCACCACATCACCCTTTAAACCAACCAGACCCCTCAGCAGCAGCTGAAAACGGGCTGGAACAAGGGCTGTGGCTTCTGTGGAGCAGCACTCGACCCTCCCCACAGCAGATGTGCACCCAAACTCCTCATTCCCAGCAGAAACGTCTCCTTGATACACTCCCTGGGGACTGCATGTCCCATCTGGGGCTCAGCAGCAGCCTCAGCTTCCCCCTCTGGCAACACAGAGCCAGACTTTGCACAGCAATGGATGGAAATGAAAAGCTGCTTCTGCAGCTTTGGCTTTAACACAACCCATCCCTCACTGCTCCTGGCAAAGCCTCCTGAACGCAGCCTGATAGCTCGGGCACAGACTGCTCTGTTGTTTCCCACCTCGAACTTCACAGTGAACCACTACAACAACAATACAACAAATCAAATTCTGCAGCCTGGATGGAGAAGTGGCTCATAACCCCAAGGAACCGCGAGGATTCACAGACCAGCTCTGATTTCTGGGCTTGCTGCTGCTCATAAGCCTTGAGCTGTGCATGCACAGGGTGGGTTTGTCCCTGGCTGCCCCTGCCTGTGCCACGGTCCATGGCTGGAACTGGAGCAGCCAGGCCTGGATGAGGGGCTGGGATTGCTCCTGAGTGCTCCTGGCAGCTCCCAGGGGCTGTGTGGGTGCCAGCAGGGAGCCCAGCCTCCCCAAGCCTGGCAGCCATCACCTCTTTGTGAGCCCACCATCTGCTCTGGCAAATCCACACTCCCATTTCCCCCTCCTGCATCCTGCTCATTCCCCAGGCTGGCTGTCAGCATTCCCCACTCCCATCAGCTCCCATTGGGATTTGTTCTGCTCCCAGTGCCCTGAGTGTTCCACCCTGGCACATTCACTCCTCCAGAGACTCAAATTGTCTGAAATTCCTCCTCCTGTGCCTTATCCACTCAATCCCCTTCTGCTTCCTGCTCACCTGCAGCCATGGGTGGTTGGAGTCTGTGCTGCCTCCACACCCAGCAGGGCCTGCTCAGCCTGGGAAGGAGCAGCACAGCCCAGACTGTGACAAAGTTCACATTTAACTGATAACACACTGATGGCAGTTCAGGCTACCTGATAAAACCCCACAATCCAAGGAATTTACTGCCAGGGCCATCTTCTAGCACTCCATGGAGCAGCACTTGCTCTCTTTGGAGGAGAAATGGCCCAAACCAAAGAGTGCCCGCTCAGAGTGGGCGCCAGCTCAGCACACACCAGGTGTAACGTGGGAATTCCAGGGAATGCCTGATTTGTACCCCATCCAAAATTGTATCTTTGAGACACCTGAAGTGCAGAACTGACAGAAAGAGCTGTGACAGGCACCTTAGGAGAGAGGAGCTTTGGGAACAGGTTATCCAAACAGTGGGACCTAAACAGAAACTAAAACAGGGACCTGAAATTGGGTGGAGAAAAGAACAAAGGTGCTGGCCCAGCAGAGTGTTTATGATCCTGTTCTGGGAGTGAGCTCTGGGGGAGGAGAGCAGCTCAGCAGTTCCTGTGTCAGGAGAGATCCTCACAGACATGAGGAGCCTCAGCAGGACCAGGGACCAGGCTCAGCAGGGCCAGGGGCTGCTCCAGGAAGGGAAAATACAGAGCACACAGTCCTGACTCAGCACAGGCTTCTCCCACAACCAAGGAGGGCAAAATCTACATCAGAAAAGCTCCCATGTTCTAGCATTGGAAAAGGTGAGGTTTTCTCCACCCTAAAATTCATCAGTCTGCTCCCTGCAGCCTGCCCCAGCCTGTCTCCTGCACTCTATGGCCTCTCCTTGCAGCTGCTCCTCATCAAACCTCGTCACAAGCTGGAAGAGCCAGAGCCCAACAAGTGGCCAGGAGGTGGGAAACAGCCACAAAGCTCCTGAATGGCAGCAGGTGGCACCCAGGACACCTTGCCATGTCCCACAGCGTGCAGCCAGAGCAGGGATTGGTGTCACAGGCACAAATCCCAGCTGTGCAGGAAGAAACAGGCTCAGGAGCTGGGACCTGGCAGTGTCACCAGCAGGTACAGCCAACAGCCACGGCAGTGAGCACAGAACATGAGTGACAGCTGTGACAGTCACCTTCCTTCAGACATGTGCACCAAACCCTGTTCACGTGTCAGAAACAGTAACGGGGATGGCCTGGCTCACCCTGGCACCACAGGGCTGCTCCAGGACCACGGCACCGGGGGCACTGTGCCAGGGAAAGGCAGGGAAAGGCCCCATCGTGCCCAGGTGCTGGATCTGGTTCAGCTCACAGGGTGCTCAACCCTCTGCACTGATCTGAGCCCCCTGTGGGCACATCCATCCCACTCAGACTGTTTAATGCATCAAAAGAGAAGAACAAAGCTTGACCCAAGGGTGGATTTCAGAAAGGCAAACGTGTACCCCAGGGCAGAGTGAGCTCTCACATGCCTGCAGGCTTCTGCCACCAGAACAACCCGCAGGTATCTAACTGGGTTATGTGAAAGGAAAAACGGATCAGCAAAAAAGGGGCAAGTAACATCCCTCTGAACGGCCAGGTTGCACAGCAACAGTGTCACTTGGCCCTGGACACAAAGCTCCTCCACAGCTCCCAGTACAAACCCATTGCCCAGGGCCCAGGAGCATTCCCATGGCCCAAAGCTGCAGCTCCAGCAGTGAGACGTGATGCCAAAGCACGGGGAAGAGAAAAAAACCTAACAAATATCCAAGAGCTTCAACCAGCAAATTCCACAGCACGAGGCTGAGGACAAGCCGACCCCAGACCCGGCAGGGGTCACTGCCAGCCGCGACAATGCCAGCACAGGGCCCGGACACCCGGGAAAGCTACACCGGAGATCCCGCACGG